AAAGATGAGGTCTCACCAAGTTGCCCAGGCTGGTCTCGAACCCATGGGCTCAGGCAATCTACTCACCCACCTCCCAAAGTACTGGGATTACAGGCTGGAGTGCAGTGGCATACTCATGGCCACCCCAGTGTTGATCTGCTGGGCTCAGGTGATCCTTCCTCCTCAGCCTTCCAAGTAGCCGGAACCACAGGCATGCGCTACCACGCGTGGCTAATTGTTTTGATTTATTGTAGAGATGAGGTCTAGCCAATTTGCCCAAGCTGTTCTAGAATCCATGGGCTCAGGCAATCCCCTCACCTTGGCTTCCCAAAGTGCTAGGATTACAGGCTTGAGCTACCACACCTGGCCCTGATCTGATTTTTTTTTTTTGAGTTGGAATCTCACTCTGTCACCCAGACTGGAGTGCAGTGGCCGCTCCTGGCCACCGCAGCCTCGACCTGCCAGGCTCTGGCGATCCTTCCGCCTCAGCCTTCCGAGTAGCCGGAATTACAGACATGCGCCACCACGCCCAGCTGATTTTTTGATTTATTGTAGAGATGAGGTCTTGCTGCCCAGGCGGGTCTCGAACCCACAGGCTCAGGCAATCCACTCACCTCAGCCTCCCAAAGGCACGGGATTACAGGCTGAGCCACCGAGCCCGGCTCCTGATCTGATTTTTATGGGACTCAGAAATAATGTATCTTTTTGATCTGGCATCTTTCACTCAGCCTAATGTTTTTGAGATTTACTTATATGTATCAAAAGTTTGTATTCTTTTTACAATTAATAGTATTCCTTTGTGTGAATGTCATAGTTTATTGATTCATTTACCAGTTGAAGGACATTTGGGTTGTTTTCAGTTTTTTGTTCTCATTAATAATACTGGTTTGATAATTCATGTATAAATTTTTCATTTCTTTGTACCATTATACACTCCTGCCAATAATGCACAAGACTCAAACTTGCTCACCAGCCGTTGTTGTTGTCAGTCTTTTTTATTTTAGTCATTCTGGTGGATGTATTTTGGCATTTCACTGTGGTTTGAACTTGTGTTTACCCAATCACTAATGCTGCTGAGCATCTTTTCCTGGACTTACTAGTCATTTCTGTGTCCTCTTTTGTTAAATAGCTATTAAAATTGCCTGCTTTAAAAAAATTGAATTGTCATACTATTGAACTCTGAAAGTTTTTTTTAAATGTATTCTGGACATAAGACCTTTGTCAACATTTATTGTAAATATTTTCTCCCAATCTTGTCTTTTTATTTCTTTCACAGTGTCCGAAGTTTTTTAATTTAATGAAGCCCAGTTTAATCAATATTTTCTTACATAGTTAGTGCTTTTTGTTATCTAGAAAATGTTTGCCTATCTCCAGATGTAGCGATTTCCTTCTATGTTTTTTAAGTTTTAGTTTTTATTTAGGTCTAGGATTGATTTTGGGTTATTCCAATGTTTGATATTAGGTAGAGGTTGGGCTTTTTTTTTTTTCCCCCAATCCCTTATGGATATCTAGTAATTCTGACATCATTTGTTGAAAGACCATCTTTTTACAATTGAATTATGTTGGTGCTTCTGTTGAAAATCAATTATCAGTGTATGTATGGGTTTATTTATGGACGCTGTATTCTGTTTCATTAATCTGTGTCTTTCTTTAGGCTAGTTGATTACTATGGCTCTATAGTAAGTCTTAACAACAAATATTTAAGTCTTCCAACTTTACTGGTTTTTCTTCAAATTTTTTTCTTTTTAGTCTTTTAGGGTCTTACATTTCCATTTAATCAGTCTGTCAGTTTTACAGAGGATCCTGCTGAGTTTTTAAATGAGATTGTATTATATATGTAGATCAAGTTGAGGATAATTTGCATCTTAATATTTAGCCTTTCAATCCATGAACACTGTATACTTTTCATTTATTTTGGTCTTTTGAAATTTCTCTTAGCAGTGTTTTGTGATTTTCAGTGTATCAATCTTGCACATATGTTGTCAATTTTTTTTTTTTTGGTAATAGCATTATTTAGATATAATTCACACATCACACGTTTTACTAACTTAAAGTTTACAATCACTGTTTTTTCCTAGTTGTTTTTAGTATTTTCACAAAGTATTTAGCCATCACCACTATCTAATTCCAGAATATTTTGTTATATGTGTTTTTGTGTGTGTGAGACAGGGTGTTATTCTGTTGCCAAGCTGGAGTACAGTGACACAATCACAGCTCACCACAGCCTCAACCTCTTGGGCTCAAGCAATCGACCATGCTTGGATAATTTTTGATTTTTTTGTAGAGAGGAAGTCTCACTATGGTGCTCAGGCTGGTCTCGAATTCTCCTGCCTTGACCTCTCAAAGTTTTAGGATTACAGTCATGGCCATGGCACTCGGCCCTCATTATACTTTAAAGAAATCCTATGCCTTTTAGCAATTACCTTCCATTTTCTCCATCTCAAGCCCTAGGCAACTACTAATCTACTTTCTGTCTATAGACTTGCCTTTTCTGATCATAACATATGATCATTTTGACTTACTTCATTCAGTTAGTTTAATGTTTTCAATAGCATCTCAGTAGTACTTCATTCCTTTTTATGGCCAAATAGTGCCGTGGCCATGCCTGTAATCCTAACACTTTGAGAGGTCAAGGCAGGAGAATTCGAGACCAGCCTGAGCACCATAGCGAGATCTCGTCTCTACTGAATTGTTATAGTACAGTATATTTACCTATTCATTTGTTGATGAACATTTGGGTTGTTTGTCCTTTTTCAGCTGTTATAAATAATGCTGCTGTGAACGTTCCTGTGTAAGTTTTTGGGTGAAGTATGTTTTATTTCTCATGTGTAGTATACCTAGTAATGAAATTATTGGATTATATGATAAGTCTTTTTAACATTTTGAGAAACCTCCAAACTGTTTTTCATTCCCATCAGCAATGTATGAGTGGATGTGTGTATGTGCTTAGGTTTCTTCATCTGTAAAATCAGGATAATGATAGTAACCATTTCATAGCAATGTTATGAAGATAAGTGAGTTATTTCTTAAATGCTTAGAACGGTGCTGGGCACATAGTTTTGTAAAATAAAATAGTCTTTTGTAGAAAGTGCTTGGCATGTAGGACACTATCAATACATGTTGTTATTACTGGATATATGTGACGATGGATGATGGTGAGGAAAGAAGAGTGTTGGCAGAAAATAATGGTTTTCCAAAAAAGTTGGGGTCATGATATAAAAGACCATGTATACTATTAAGGAGTTAGAATTTTAATCTCTAGACAGTAGTGACCTCAGAGGTTTTAAAGCAAGAGTCTC